TGTTGGTCATGAGAAAATATTGGTCTTTGCAACAATCTTCAGCTATAACTGCTGAGTAGATGATCCATCTCAGCCACCTCCAGTGGTCTCCAGCATCACAGTTGCCAATCTTCAGCCAATTCAATTCACTCCACATGATATCAAGAAACAGTCGGAAGCATAAGATACTACAAATGCTATGAGACAACATTCCGGCAATAGTACTGAAGACTTGTGCTCCAGAACCTGCTGCAGCCCTAGCCAAGCTGATCCAGTACAGCCATAGCACTGACATCGAGACGACAATGTGAAAAATTGCCCAAGTATGTTCTGTACATGAAAGGAATGACAAATCCAACCTGGCAATTACTGCCTCACCAGTCTACTCTCGATCATCAGTAAGGTAGTTGAAGCGTTCATCAACAGTGCTATCAAGCAGCAACTTCTCAGTAACAACCTGCTCACAAACACTCAGTTTGTGTTCTGCCAGGGCCACTCAGCTCCTGACCTCGTTACAGTCTCTGTTCAAACATGGACAAAAGAGCTGAATTCGAGAGGTTAGGTGAGAGTGACAGCAATTGACATGAAGCCTGCATTTGATTGTATGTGATGTCAAGGACCCCTAGCAAAACTGGAATCAAAGGTAATCGGGGGCAAACTCTCTGACACATAGGAAGATGGTTGTGATTGTTGGAGGTCAGTCATCTCAGCTCCAGGACATCTCTGCAGGAGTTCCTCAGGGTAGTGTCCCAGGCCCAACCATCTTGAGCTGCTTCATCAATGACCTTCCCTCTATCGTAAGGTCAGAAAAGGGGATGTTCACAGATGACTGCATAATGTTCAAGACCATTCGCAATTCTTCAGATACTGAGGTTGCCCATGTTGAAATGCAACAAGACCTGGACAATATCCAGTCTTGTGCTGACAAGTGGCAAGTAACAGTTGCACCATATAAATGTGATGCATTTCCAATAAGAGACAATCTAAATACTGCCCCTTGACATTCAGTGGTATTACTATCCATGAATCCCCCACTATCAAGATCTTGAGAGTTACCATTGACCAGAAGCTCAACTGGACTCAATGTGTAGATACAGTGGCTACAAGACCAGGTCAGAGGTAGGAATACTGTGATTAGTAACTCGCCTCCTGACTCGTCAAAGCCTACCAAGCATCTAAATGACACAAGTCAGGAGTGTGATGGAATACTCCCCATTTGCCTGGTTAAATGCAGGTCCAACAACACTCAAGAAAATTCACACAATCCAGGACAAAGGAGTCTGTTTGATTGGCATCAAATCTGCAAAAATCTTCTTCCTCCACCACCAACGCTCAGTGGCAGCAGTGTGTCCTATCTACAAGATGCACTGCAGAAATCTACCAAAGATCCTTAAACAGCACTTTCCAAACTATAACCGCATCCATCTAGAAGATGGGCAGCAGACATATGGGAACACTACTACTTGCAAGTACCCCTCCAAGCCACTCACGATCCTGACTTGGAAATACATTGCTCTTCATTCACTCTGGCTGGGTCAAAATCCTGGAATTCCATCCTTTACAGCATTGTGGGTCTACCTACATCACATGGACTGCAGCGGTTCAAGATGGCAGCTCACCACCAACTTCCCAGAGGCCAGCCAGCAATGCCCACTTTCCCATGAGAGAATGAAAACAAGCTGGTGGGGAGAATTAAAGACAAACACAAGATATTCTATAAGCATATCAAGGGGAAGAGGATAACCAAGGAGAAGTGTGCTTTAGGGACAAAGAAGGCAGTGTGTGTGTGGTGCTGGAGGACATTGGTAGGGTCTTAAACAAGTACTTCACATCTTTCTTCACTTTGGAGAAGGAGGATGTAGGTATAAAATTTGGGAGAAGAGACTGGAGGTTCTTGAGCATTGACATACGGAGTGAGGAGGTAGTGGAGGTTTTGGTGCAGTTAAAAGTCAACAAATCCCCAGGTCTGGATAAGTTATACTGCAGGCTGCTGTAGGAGGTGAGGGAGGAAATTAAAGAGACTCTGATCCAAATTTTAATTCCTGTCTGACCACAGGGAAGGTGCCAGAGGACTGGAGGACAGATAATGTGGTTCCATTTTTCAAGAAAGAAACCAGGAAATTATAGACAAGTGAGTCTCACATCAGTGATAGGGAAACTATTGGGGAAAATTGTGAAGGAAAGAATTAATCTCCAGTTGGAGAGTTGGTTTGATCAGGGATAGTCAGCTTGACTTTGTCAGAGGGAGGTCATGCCTAACCAATTTGATTTAATTTTTCAAGGACGTTAACAGGTATGTAGATGAGTTTTAGTGCAGTTGATGTAGTTTACATGGATTTCAGCAAAGCCTTTGACCAGGTCCCACATGGGATACTGATAAAGAAGGTAAAAGCTCATAGGATCCAGGGTAACTTGGTAAGTTGGATGCTAAATTGGTTTAGTGGTAGAAGCAAAGGGTGGTGGTAGAAGGCTGTTTGTGTGACTGGAGGCTGATGTCCAGTGGCATACCACAGGGATCAGTGCTGCATCTCCTGTTGATCGTGTTATGTATGTAAACAACATAGAAGAGAATGTTGGGTGTGAGTGGGGGGGTGCGGGCTAAGTAAGTTTATAGATATAATAAAGACTAGCTGGATGGTTGACAGTCAGGAAGGTCTTAGATTATGGAAGAATAAAAATGGATTGATCAGATGGGCAAATCAGTGGCAGAGTGGAACTTAATCCTGAAAATTTTGAGGTGATGCACTTGGAAGATGTAACAAGGCAATACTTAAAGAATGGTAGGACACTAGGAAGCACAGAGGAATAGACGGATCTCAGGGTGCTTGTCCAGAGATCCCTGAAGGTGGCAGGACAGATTAATAGGGTAGTTCTGAAGGCATATGTGACACTTGCATATATCAGTCGTGGCATGGTTTATAAGAGCAGGAAGGTTATTTTGGTGTTGTATAAAATTTTGGTTATGCCACAGCTGGAGTACTGCTTGCAGTTCTGGTCACCAAACCCTAGGAAGAATGAGATTGAATTGGAGGAGGTGCTGAGGAGATTCACCAGAATTTTGTCCGGAATGAAACAATTCAGCTGTGAAGAGAAGCTGGATAAGCTTGGGTTGTTTTCTTATAGCTCAGAAGGCTGACAGGGAACCTAACTGAGTGGCATAAATTTATGAGGGGCATGAGAAGAGTGAATGGAAAACAACTGTTCCTCTTAGTTGAACAACCAATTAACAGGGAGTCATAATTTTAAAGGTGAAAGGAAGGAGGTTTAGAGGAGACGTGAGGAAATTCCTTTTCACCCAGACGGTGGTGGGAATCTGGAATGCACTGCTGGGAGGGTAGTTGAGGCAGAAAACTTCACAACCTTTAAAGAGAACTTGAATGAGCATTTGAAATGTCATAACATTCAAGGTTAGGGGCCAAGTACTAGAAACTAGAACTAGTATAGATTTAGATAAGTCATTTTGTTGGAGCAGATTCAATAGGCCAAAGGGCCTCTTCTATACTGTATGATTTGATGATTCATACTATCTCTGGAAGACCAATTATAAAAGGTAACTACAATGGCTTTATTCCTCCACAGGATGAGGTAGCATTTACTACCCATAGGGTAGTCAAGTTGCTGTGGGTCTGGAGTCACATGTAGGCCAGACCAGGTAAGGATGGCAGTTTCCTGCCCTAAAGGACATTAGCAAACAGATGGGTTTTTCCTCCAACAACTGGCAATGGATTCATGGTCATCATTAGCCTTTAATTCCAGATATTAACTGAATTCAAATTCCACCTTCTGCTGCGGTAGGATTTGAACTCAGGTCCCCAAAATGTTATCTGGGTCCCTGGATTAACAGTCCAGTGACAATACAACTAGGCTGTCACCTCCTCCCATGCTATGTGTGACCAAAAAGCCATATTACAGAAAGCATTCTAGAATTTTGATTAAGAACTAAATTAATTTACAACAACAAAACATAAGATGCTTGATAAATCAATTATTTTAAGCTTAGTTATTCACAATGAATGGTAAGGCTATTACTTCAAATAAATGAACATGACATTCCATGTAATATCTACTAGCAGGCATGGATTCAAAATGTATATCCCAATCAAAATCTGTAGAACTGTATCATCCAGTTATGATAATTGTTTACAAAATGGAATATTAGTAATATCAACTCAAAGTTGCCCAAATACAGTAGCCTACATCTTAGAAAACAATTGTAAATGTATGCCTATTTGCTTTTAATGATGTGACTGAAATTTAAGCAAATATAACACTTCTGAAATATTTTCCTGTGTATTTAATGTGGCGTGAGCTTAAATGAAAATAGCTTCGTTAATATTGTGATTCCACGGTACTGGTATAGAGTCATGTATTGATCTTAAACTCATCACATGCATCAGTGCGCTGGAGGAAAATTCACGTATTGCCAAATAAAGCATAAAGGCAAAGATAAACGCAAATCCGCATACAGAAACCACTCTGTCAGCGTCCAGAAATCGAGAAGTGTAAAATATATTTTTAAAATTTGGATATTCAGGATAAACACACCGAAACCCACGTGTGCGCTCATACAACACATTTATTTACTCCATTTATAAAAAATACAATTTTTCAGACGGAGCAAAAACTGGTATCAGTAAATGAATCCCATCACATAGCATGTCACCTGATTATCAATAGCAACAATTAATTGTTGCCAATCCGATGGCAACATCATTGTGATAATAATTTTGACATTATCACTTCGGAGTATAATACGTGAGGGCGGGGAAACTATCTGTGAATTTAAACCATTTCAATTACATGGTAATAAATATCCATCGTGTACTTTTAGTTTATAATCTAACATATTTCAGAACAATATTACCTCATTAATAGAAAATTAAAAGGTTTTGTACAGCAACCAAATAAATAAATATACTCATGCTTTAAAGATAAAACTCTCAACTCACATAAGAATCTTCGAAGTAGTTTATTTACGGCAGGATTTTTAAATGTTAAATCTATCAGCCCCATTACTGTACCTGAATAATACAAGGTAGCTCAGTGTCATCCAGCAGTCTGATTGTACATTTGATCTCTTGGCTTAAGGACTTGATACTTGAACTGCGAAAGCGGAGCATTTTCATTCTGTTCTAATTTCTCTTTAATTAATCATAGAAGCCGTCAACCTCAAAAATAAACATCTCTCGATTGAACTGAAAACGCCTTGGGCGTGTATCGTATTATGAAGAAAACACTACCACATGGAGAAGAACACTGACTGCGTCAAGCGGAGTCTATCTCGGACGCTCACTCAAAATTTCATTGACATTTATACAGCAAGAAGAACATCAGCAGCACCGGTGAAAACTCCAAAGGCAGAATCTGAAAACAGAAACTATTCTTTCCCTTGCTAGATAAGACCAAGCTGGAAGTCAAACACCTGTTCGATGTACAGTATATGGAAGCTGCAGCTCATGGTACGGGCTGCAAAGATGCTTCTCTGATGCATTGATCCAGCTCCTCCTCGCTCAGAAGGCGGGCGCGCAGCGCGGCGCCAGCAGTCAGGGCTCGGCCAATCACAGCGCTCAGTGCGCGCCTCGCGGCCACGCGATTGTGGTGCGCGCGGAGCGGGTCGCCGCCGGAACAAAGAGACGTTGAGGGGACCGTACAGAGCATCTCTCATACATGTGAATACACGGCTATACTGTCTGCTTGCACATTGCCAGTCGATGTTATTCCTGCACTTAGATACGTACTTTGATATTTTTCTGCCTTCATTGCAATGTTACTTCATCGCCACTACGGGAGATTTATTTTAAGAGAAATGTGATGAAACTTATTAGTTGAACGCAATTTTGTTCGCATTGATTCTCACTTCTCCCGTCCCCGCCCCCCAAACAAGTGAATTAGATACTGACTGCAACCATTGTGTTCTGCTAAAGAGAATCTTTGTAGATGATTACAAGCCGAGTGAGACTCCAGCTGAGCTAAATTGCAAGGGAGCTGTCATACATGACTTTTCTCCTTCTCGCTCCATTCTTGTTCTGCCCTGTCCTTTATCTCGTATTACTCTCCTGCCGGACGCTGGCCTAATACAAATACCTTCCTGTGAAAACGAACAAAAATCAATTAAGCCAATCAGCAGCTGTGTACCAGACCAATCGCTGCAAGCTAGTAACGGGCCTTAACAGTTGCAATGTTGGAAGAATTGCCCCAGAAATGTCCGACAGAGGCAAGTTGGCACACCGATATATTGACAAGGTCCTGGAGATCCTGGTTCACGGGATGGTGGAGCAGAGGGCTGTCGTTTCATTGGTACTGCCAGAGGTGACTACAGCACCACTCCTTGCTAACCTAGACCAAAGTTTCCACCCTGGTCAGTGTGGTGTTCACAGTCTAGCAGAATGCCTAGCAATACAAGAAGAAAGTTAATGATCCTCTAAATTCTGCGAGTTGTCTTCCCTCTATTAACTCACATTCCCTCTAACTCTGCCACTGTACCCACTTCCCATCATGAGTTTACCACTTTCAAATTGCATGCAACATCTTCCCTCAATTGTTCGCAATCATCTCAACTGCAGACTAAGTCTGCATGATCTCTGCATTTCCTATTCACACATTCAGGCACCCGACCACCTGTACCAGCACTAACAGCTGTGCCAGCCAGTGTAACATTACTCAGTCCCTCCCTCTGTCTCATTCCAAAAAAAAGTCCAAAATAGGGTAAAGAGTGCCAAGTCAGGTAGTGGGGTTGCCTAATATTTGTCTTGTCATCTTTTATGAGGAGAGAATCCTTGCCTTAGCAGGAGAGGACCATAACCACTCATGGTCAAGCCAAAGCAGCCATGTGCCGGGAATTAACTTCATTGTCAAGTGTTGTGCTATTCTCCCATTACCACCACTGTGTGCAGATTCGTAACATGTCCAACCATCTTGCCCCTATTTCACAACTCATTCTCTCTGTCTCCTGCAGACACAGGCAGAATCTGCATGGCATCTGTCATGAAGAGGCAATCTCTTCCTGCTAATTAAGAAGCCACAGCTTCCTCAGAGAAAGTACTTTGAGGCACCCTTTCGCTGGCTGAGGTTCTGATGCCCCAGGGGTATATTAGCCACAATCTGGTGAGCTCATCATTGCCACATCTCTGCAGCTAGCTGAAAAAGAAATGCCCAGATTGTTAGCACACAAGGCTGCTAGAGACCAGGTACCTGCTCAGTGCTAGCAGGAGAGGACACCATGGTGACTTCATGATAACTTCATTCAAATGCACAAACAGACACAGAAACAACAGACAGGTTTTTCAGAGGCACTCTGGAAACTGACTCAAAGGTTGCAAGAACCTCTCCAATGCTTTCTGTACCATGATGCCTCCAAACAGGCTGCATCGAGACCATTGTATAGACAGATAATGCTTAATTCTTGGATTCTTTGCTTCAGATGACTGGAAGAAGCACTGAGGCTAGGTGATAGCGAATGAAGATCGGTGTCTTACTACTTAGAATGTTGCTGCACTCAATGAGGATGTTCTTCAGAAGAAACAGACCTTCAGCATCAGAAAGTGCATTAGCCAAAGGAACGCAGGCAGGATTTATTTGTAAGCCTCATTCCATAGAACTGAGTTGCATGAATTCATATTTCACTGACTGTAAACATTTTGATGCTACAGAGGTCAGCATCCCCTGTTTAATCACAAATGCAGAGTTAGAATATCATGTGCAGCTAATGTTGGCTAATCTATCTTCATTCCTATAGTTGCACCTAAATTGACAGGTTGACACGTTTGAAACTTTGTTGTAAATACATTTTCACTTTGCTAACTATCTGGGGTATTTCTTCTTCAGTCAACTGCAGAGACATGGCAACTATGTGCTCACCAGAATGTGGCTTTCACTGTGTGAGTGACTGTGTGCTCTCATAAGTTTTCTTTTTCGCTCCCGCAACATGTAGGTGTGATCACTGGGTTCTTTGCAATGAACCCCTGGACACGACCTGCATGAGAACCTGATGTGGAGGGGACATCTTATGTTTTTTGTTGTCCCAGTGAAAGAAAGTCCTTCACAGAAGTGGTGGACATTTGACATGGCATACTGACCTCCATCTCTAAACACAGTACAGTGCCACTAGCACACCCTCACCCCTCTCATCTGCATGTAATTCCATGTGGCTTTCCTGTGTCTTCAACACACCACGAGGGCATCAACGGCTAGAAATTCCACATTTGGTTGCTGCTCCACATCAACTGGACATAGATACTGGTCTGGCTTTCCAGACACATGTATTTTTCATCCATTAACATGGAACCTTGTAGTGCAATGGACACAGAGATAACCACAGCCTGAATCAATTAGAGTCAATTTCAAATATGTATATATGGACGATATCAGAAACAAAGCAGCTCCTCAGTAATGTATCATTCAGCAGTCACAGAACAGCATCCTCAAAACATTGAGTCATGGAGGCCTCTGACAAGGAGAGCAACGGGTTGCTTTGATATCGAACTTGCACATTGTTGATCTGATTCATATGTATGCTGCTCAAGTATTTTGACACACAGTGGGAAATCATATGTGTGGCAGAAACAATGACAACATCTCCCTGCACCCTTCTGATACCTAAGAAAGACAGCACTGCATATAAGATAATGGTGTGGACATTTTATAGTCCAAGATGTGAAGTGAGCAGCTCTTGCACTTTGTGAAAGCTGTGAAACCTTGAGAAATGATTGTGACTTCTGCAACTGTGGTAAATCTTAAAAACTCACCTGACATGACCTGTGCTTCACAGCCATTAGGAGGATTCATGTGTATTGTTGAATGATGTGGTCAAGAGACCTTGTGGCAGGATTTTTAGTCAACACAATTTGCCAAAGCAAGAGGGCTACATACAGAATTGTGTGATAACAGATGTACTGAGAAAGTGTCTGTTTAATGCTATTGTTCTTTGAAAGACTTCACACTACACCAAAGTGGAATCCATTGTCTCCCAAACCTTCTTTTCCTTTCTGCCTTGCTCCCTTTCCCCACCCCATGAACCCTATCAGCTTTGCCACATTCCCACTCTTATTTAACTGTTCAACTTCCCATTTTACTCCAAGCCCCAGACATGCAGCTGAGTTATACACTCTCTGTTTACCGCCCTTCACACCGCATCTCCTCACAAATCGAAGCCAAGGAGATGGCAACTGTTGATATTACCCAGCCCACAGTATCTCTTTCCCTCCCGCACTTTATCATCTCCCACCCTAATACGCTGAGTTTACCCTTTCATGATTATTATCCCCTCTGCAACCTAGCATGCTGCCTCCAATTCCCACAGATGACTTTCCCAGTATTTCCACCACAGCAGTGGCCCTTGATAAATTCCTTTGACAGATCCCCAGACTGACTGTGGCCCACCACCTTCACTGACTTGGAAAGATGCCAGACTGGTGAGTGACCAGATTTTGACTCATCGGGGGTTATGGGAAAATGAAGGAAAGTGAACGCAATGAATCTCAGATCAACCATGATCCTACTGAATGGCTAAGCAGGATCAAGGGCCCGAACAGCCTACTCATGTTCCTATTTCTTATGATCATTTGCACATCTCTGTGCAGCTTGCTGACTGAGTTATCACTAATCTCTAGTCTGCTTGACTGAACCTGCAGGACTGGCTGTGGACCACCACCCAGACTGGAGTGATACAGACCCCAACTCTAATTGGCCCAACTACCTGAATGACTATGTCCAAGCCCCTGGACAGATATCAGACAATACCCTTGACTTATTATACTGGAAGCCCTGACTGACAACAGTGCCCCCTTGTGTTGACCAAAGACTACTTCCCTTAGACTTTGAGGCATGAAGTGTAGGACATTCATGCACTTACTATACAAGTTACAGGCATTTTCTTTTATTTAGTCATGGGAAGTGTGTATCACTGGCTGGACCAGCATTTAATTGCCCTCCCTGATTGCCAAGAAAGTGGTGATGAACTTCCTTCTTAAATTGCTGCAATCCATTTGGTGTAGGCACCCAACAGTGTCCAGTTCCATTTCTTTTGATGCTTTTCAGGGTTTGATACCACTATGACTGATTGGTTTGGTAGGCCATTTCAGAGGACAGTCAATTGTCAACCTCACTGGAGTCACATGTAGTCCAAACC